TTTTTTTTTTTTTTGAGACGAGTCTCGCTCTGCCGCCCAGGCTAGAGTGGGTGGCGCGATCTCTACTCACTGCAAGCTCCGCCTCCTGGGTTCGCGCCATTCTCCTGCCTCAGCCTCCCGAGTAGCTGGGACTACAGGCGCCCGCCACCATGCCTGGTTATTTTTTTGTATTTTTAGTAGAGACGGGGTTTCACCTTATTAGCCAGGATGATCTCGATCTCCTGACCTGTGATCCTCCCGCCTCGGCCTCCCAAAGTGCTGGGATTACAGGCGTGAGCCACCGCGCCCATCCCAAATTTTCTATTTTCTTCTTTAATCAGGGTCAATTATTTGTGTCTTTCATCTCTGTTCATATCAGCTGTGATGTGGTCATAGATGACTTTTATCAGGTTGAGAAAGTTCTCAAGTATTCCTAGTTAGTTGAGTGTATTTGTCATTAGAAGGCATGCACCACCACACCCAGCTAATTTTGGTATTTTTCGTAGAAACAGGGTTTCACTATGTTGGCCAGTCTGGTCTCGAACTCCTGACCTCGGGCAATCCACCCACTTCAGCCTCCCGAAATGCTAGGATTACAGGCATGAGCCACCACTCCCGGCCAGACACATTGGTTATTTAGGAATATATGGTTTCCTTTCTGTCTGTTACTGATTTCTAATTTAATTCCATTGTGGTTTGAATGCATACTTTATGTGATTTCAGTCGTTTTACATTTATTGAGACTTGTTCCATAACTTACCATATGCTTTATCCTAGAGAACGTTCCATGTGCAACTATTCTGTTGATGTTGGATGGAGTAGTCCTTAGATTCCTGCTAAGTCTATTTGGCTTATAGTGTTGTTCAAGTCTTCTATTTTCTTGTAGATCTTCTGCCTAAATTTTATTAATTAGTGAAAATGTGGTATCAAAGCTGTCAACTTTTATTGTTAAATTTCCCATTTTGCCAGGCACGGTGGCTCACGCCGGTAATGAGGTCAGGAGTTCAACCTGGCCAACATGGTGAAACCCCGTCTCTAGTAAAAATACAAAAATTATCTGGGCGTGGTGGCGCATGACTGTAGTCCCAGCTACTCAGGAGGCTGAGGCAGGAGAATCGCTTGAACCCGGGAGGCAGAGGTTGCAGTGAGCCGAGAATGGTGCCACTGCACTCCAGCCTGGGCAACAAGAGCAAAATTCTGTCTCAAATAAAATAAAATAAAATAAAATAAAATAATAAAATAAAATAAAATTTCCTATTCTTCCCTTCAATTCTGTCAGTTTTTACTTTCTGTAGTTTGGGGTGCTACTGTTAGGTATATGTATGGTTATAGGTTTTATATCTTCCCAGTGGGTTAATTTTGTGTCACCATGAAAGTCCCTCTTTATTTCTAGTAACATTTAAAAAAAATCCATTTTATCTGATATAGGCATCACCAACTCCAGTTCTCTTTTGTTTACAGTTTGGTACATCTTTTTTTATTCTTTTACTTTCAACCTATTTGGGTCTAGTGGAGAACTCTTCTACTGCCTTAGATTAGGGAGTCATATTACATTATCATCATTAGTACTATTATTTGACATTTGTTTTGCTGACTAGCTACTGCTGGTAGGTTTTTCTTCAACCATTCTGAGGCTCTATATTGAGTTATATTAGTACATCATCATGAAGAGCTAAAGGCAGGTAAGGATTATTTTCTGAACTGCAATATTGATTAAACCTATGTGAATGTATAAGATTCTTAGAAGAGTTGACATTAAATCAAGGTGAAGATGAGGTTTGAGCCTTACTTAAAGACTGACATTTTCTGCTCTAACTGTGGACAGTACTGTAGCACTGTTATAGTATCTGATCTGAATGTTAGTCTAGCAATTCAGCATCTTCTTCATGACAGCTGAACATCAACCTTGCGATGGTATATGCATACCAGAGTGTGCCTGGCATCCCACCTCCTCCTCCTCCCCCTCCTCCTTGACTGGCTCTGGAAAGCAAATAGGGTATAACAATAGGAGTGCTGGAATGTTCCTGTGTGGGGCTGACCTTTGTATCGCTGTTATTCCTCTACTTTCAGATGCAAAAAAGATTAAGTTGAAACTGAATGAAAGTCTTTTCTGGGCCACAGGGCTGAGCTGCTTTTGCTCTTTGCAAATCCAAAGAATTTAACAGGATTTCTCCCTTTCTCAACTTCCTATCCCCTACCCTGACCTTTGCATCTTCCCAATATGAGGAAAAAGGAGGAAGTTTTCCTTGCGGGTTTTTTTTTTATGATGACATGATGGGGCCGGTTGATCAACGGGGAAAACCCCATGTGGTAACACACCTTCTGTGTACATTCCCAATTATTTGCTATAAATAGAGCCATCCCAGGCTGCTGGCAGAACACAACAGCGCTCCCAAAGCACTGGGTACCCAGCACTGAGCAGATCTGTTCTTTGAGCTAAAAAACCATGTGCTGTAGCAAGAGTTTGCTCCTGGCTGCTTTGATGTCAGTGCTGCTACTCTACCTCTGCAGTGAATCAGAAGGTAAGTGTCGCTGTTTCTGCTAGCACAGGAGAAAGACTATTTTCATTTTCCTTTAAGCCTTGAGCTCAACTGGGGGTCCCTAAGGGGTGGAAAACTGTTTGAAAGTACACAAGAGGGAGTGATGGAAGTTTTCAGCCCATTGTGGAGTGGAGGAGAGAAGAGTTACGGCTGCGGATCAGGCTTTCCTCTCTGCTGTCAGTCTCAGCAGATTGGGGGAGTGGTGGGCTCTTAGAGACCCCTAAACTTCAGGACAAAGCCAAAGTGCTGTTTCTGGGAGTGATACAAAGTGTGTGATGTTACCAGTAGATGGGGCTGTTTTGAAATGTAGAGAATACTCCCACGTCCCCAACTTTCTTACCTCCCAACTTAATAGTTTTGGGAAAGTTCAAAACTCATCCTTCAGGAGTAGATTATAATACCTGTCATCAACATTCCCACAAGGCCTGGGGGACATTGCTTGCCAACTTTGAAATAACATTAATCCCTTACCTGACAGCATGTTGTTATCTGACTAGGGAATGTCCAAGTATTGCTTTATTGCTCAATAGTCACACATCACTTTTAGCAACAGGTGCATTCCTGAAAATGCACATCGAATTTTTTTTTTTTTTTTTTTTTGAGGCAGGATCTCACTTCATCACCCAGGCTGGAGTGCAGTGGCATGATTACTGCTCACTGCAGCCTCAACCTCCTGGAGTCAAGTGAACCTCCAGTCTCAGCCTCTTGAATAACAGGGACCATGGCCGTGTGCCACACACCCGGCTAATTTTTTTACATTATTTTGTAGAGACAGGGTTTCACTATGTTGCCCAGGCTGGTCTCGAACTCCTGGAGGCAAGCAATCTTTCCTCCTTGGCCTCCGAAAGTGCTGGGATTACAGGCGTGAGCCACTATGCCCAACCACGTGTTGAACTTTTATGAACAAAATTAAACATTCCTATTAGCTAACATGACAATTTCAAAGCATTTTCACTCCTATAAATCGTATTTTCCTTTGTAGCTCTATTTCTCAATACTTAGTAGCCAGATAGTAGATTAAGATCTGCCAATTTATTCATTTTCTGCTTTTGGAAGTTTATCTACATAAGGGTTCTTTCAAGCAGTAAGGAAGGGGGTGCTCATATTCTTGAATGATTATACTGAACTGAAATGAAATATTGTCATTTTGTGTCCTTACTAAAGATATCCCACTTACGAGAAGTCATGTGTTTCTCAATTGTACTATCGAACCAAAACTTCTCAGCACACAAACTGTTGTTCCAAAGAACTGTAAACTATGTTAAATTGGTTCTCAACAACCTTACAAAGGTTTCGAAGACATTGAAACTCCTCCACTAAGCGGTTTATTCATCATATACATGAGATTCACTAGATTTTTCACAACTTAAGGTAGTTTTATAATACCAGTCACAGGATAAGTTTGTTCATGTGGACCCAATACCTTTCACTTTTTTTTTAGCAGCAAGCAACTTTGACTGCTGTCTTCGATATACAGACCGTATCCTTCATCCTAAATTTATTGTGGGCTTCACACAGCAGCTGGCCAATGAAACCTGTGACATCAATGCTGTCATGTAAGTTATTAATTGATTTTAATTCAATTGTATCAGGAATACCTAGAAACTTCAGTTTTAAAAATGTTTGCCTTTTTAGAGTTTCATTCAGAAATTACTGATGTTTTGAACATAGGATCTTATCTTAGAAATGATGTGGCAAAGATAGCTTTGTCTTAGTACATATCTACTTCAAAGTTCACTTTAAACAGGACTGGAATAAGGCAAAAACTTCCTTTTTTAAAAATTGTTTGGTCAAAAGGAACTAGTATAGGGCAAAAATCACTTTCTAAGGCTATTAAAGTGATATGTTAGGAAAATATGGAAGATACATATTTTGACATGAGCATCTTCTACCAGAAAATGTTTGAGACCAAAAGTAAAATCTCAGACTAATTATACTATCACATATAATTTTCTTGATTTATATAGGATATTATATTTTGGAATTATAGAAGTTATTGATCAGATACATACATATTCTATGCAACCACCAATAGCAAAATTATATGACAATTCTGGGACTTTGTCTTCTGCCATTGTACTATTATTTGTTACATTGCAGAGAAAGGGAGAATCACTTTCATTTAGCAGTAATCTTCGTCAGAAGCATTTTTTTTTTTTTTGGCATTTTATTTTACCTCGTCAACTGAAGTGTTTAGTGTGTAATGAACTGGAATATAAAGTCTCCATTGTACGTTCTGTGAAAAACCCATTTAAAAGCTCATTAAACACAAATCAAATGTTCTGATTTTTCAGCTTTCACACAAAGAAAGGGTTATCTGTGTGCGCAAATCCAAAGCAGACCTGGGTGAAACTTATTGTACGTCGCCTCAGGTATGTTACAGTGACATTTAGCCTCTGCAAAGGTTTGAGGAAAGAGGAGTATTCAAAGGGGTGGACCGTAGGTTTTCTGAGATTCTTTAGTCTAACTACTGTGGAATTTTTAAAGGGAAAATTTGAGTTGGACCACAAAAACAAAGAATGCATTTTTCCACTTGTAGATAGATCATCATCGTTATTATTATTTTAATTTACTGATTTCTTATATGATGTATTAGATTTCTCTATGCATTTGATAGTTACTAGCTGCCTGATTCTTGTTGCAAAGATGCCTCCTATTTATATAATGTAAAGGCAATCCAGCATTTGGGTTGTTTGTTAAAAATTGAAAAATAAACATTAGTTAAACAGAGATCAATGGTTCTGATTTACATTGACAATAACAGACAGTAACACTTTATCAACGGATGGAAGGCACCTAACACCAGTGTGCCATAGCCACTGAACTTGGAGACACAAGAAATGTGTACATATCCTGTTTCTGTCATTAATGAGCTGAGTTAGGTTGGGCAAGGGCCATCCTCTCTAAACCTCAATTTCCTCCTCTGAACTCTGAGCTGCTTGACATACTGAGTTGAGATTAAGGGCAGATGAAGCAACCTTTAGGTACCAAAGTCATTCCTCCCATGCAGTCACCTCGTCATTACTTACACTTTTCTTCTTTTTCATTTTACAGCAAAAAAATCAACAAGATGTAAAAACTGTGGCTTTTCTGGAATGGAATTGGACTTAGCCCAAGAACAGAAAGAACCTTGCTGGGGCTGGAGGTTTCACTTGCACATGATGGAGGGTTTAGTGCTTATCTAATTTGCGCCTCATTGGGACTTGTCCAATTAATGAAGTTGATTCATATTGCATCATAGTTTGCTTTGTTTAAGCATCACATTCAAGTTAAACTGTATTTTATGTTATTTATAGCTGTAGGTTTTCTGTGTTTAGCTATTTAATACTAATTTTCCATAAGCTATTTTGGTTTAGTGCAAAGTATAAAATTATGTTTGGGGGGAATAAGATTATATGGACTTTCTCGAGAGCAACAAGCTATTTTTTTAAAAAAACTATTTAACATTCTTTTGTTTATATTGTTCTGTCTCCTAAATTGTTGTAATTACATCATAAAATAAGAAAAATGTTAATAAGACAAATATTGAAAATAAAGAAAGAAACAAAAAGTTATTTTGCTGATTGAGTTATATATCATTTTTATGATGTGTATTGAAAACATTTCCAGGCACAGAAAATGTAATAATTGTCTGAGAAATTACAGTTGCCACTAACTTCTAGTTGTTCCCTTTATCTCGGCCCCTCATGGCCCTGGATTTGATTTTACATGAATTATAATGGAACAGTTGTTCTATTTTTTCTTTAATTCAAAGTCATCCAGACTAAAAGTTGAAAAAGATCCTATATCTGAAATTCATAACCCAATGTTTATTGATTTTTAAAAAACTGTTTAAAATAAGAAACCATGCCCACACACCTTTTGACTACAGGGACACAACAACCATTTAGAATATATCTTCAGGAATCACTTCTTCCATCCTTCCGTCACCAGCCAGGATCTCAGCATACGAACATTTCTCCCTTTAAAAGTCCTCCCGAGTCATCTTTAAGCAGTTTCTGAAAAGAAAGTGACTATTCAGAGAGTTCTTAGTGACTGCCTTGCTAACCGGAGGGGAGCCCCCAAACGTGTGAAACCTGGTAAGAGCCCAGCAATAGGATGAAAAGACTCGGAACCAGTAGTTAACTATCACTACATTCATGCACCAAGGTTCACAGAGTGCCTCGAATTCCAAAGAACACACGGGATCACTGGAGGCAGGCACACTGATGATATGATGCAAAATCAAGACACATAAATCCATAAAACAGGGCAGTGGTGGGTCATTTGACGTGGAGCCAAAAAAGAGTAAGTGGCTCAATTGTCCCCGAGGGCGTCTGCATCCTCAGGAACAGCAACACTGAATCATCAGGGAAAGTATGCTCAACATCCTGTGTGCTGATTCATCACACATACGTTCAGTATGTGCTGGGCACTGTGTCAAGTGCTACAGAGATGAAGTGACTTAAAACTTAGAAACTTACTGCTAGATAATTAAGGTTGAGCAATGTGGCGAGAGGCAGGAAGGAGTAAAGCAGCTCTTACAACACTGGGTGGCAAGCACTTTAATAAGGAAAGTCACCGGGCATCGTTCCTGAGGGTTTCCAGAAGAAGTACTATGCAGTTGAATCATAGTAAATAGCCAATATTTGATGTTCTTGACCTGAGAAGATGGCAATGTCACAAGATTCAGGCCAGTGCTTGTGGTATGAAGAATCAGTAGGAAGTAGCCAGTTGGAAAAGGGACAGCAGGGAGTGTTTGGAAATATCTGGGGGCATGTGTAGTTGTCACAATGTCAGAGGGTGGGTACAATAAGCACGCAGTGGGCAGGAGCCAGGGATGCTAAATCCACTGGAATGCACTGGATGATTCCGCACAATGAAGAATTGTGCCACCCCAAACGCCAGTGACGCCACCATTGAGCAATAATGGATGAAGAGGAGTATATGCAAGTGGGTGCAGGGGTGGAGTAGCTACAGATTAAGTAAAACTGTTATCTCAACTAAGTGTGGTGGTTTGGGCTTGACCATGCAGCACTGGGAAACCACTGTAAAGGTCAAAATAGATGTTGTCTCTGCATGGCAGAGGAAAGGGAGGTGGGGTGGATGGAAAGCAGAGGTACCGGAGACAGCTGCAATGAGGAGGCTGAGAAATGGTGAAACCTCAGTCAGAGCCACGGCCCGAAAAAAAAAAAAAAAAAAATGTGCAGAAGAAGTGGGATTGTGAAGCCTGGGACTCATCCCAGACACCCCTCCTCTCCTCCCCATCAGTCACTGTTGGAACAGCACAGCCAAAGCTAGGCATTGCCAGGAGGCAGCACATCTGTCTCATTGCCAGAAGGCCTCAGCAGGCAAGGCTTGTGGAGTCAGGAAAGCAGCAAAGTTTGTTAGACTCTGAAGCTGTCTGAATCTTCTGAGGCCAGGACCACTAATAAATACTAAGTGAGTTTCTGAAGACTGAAAGCTCCAGGCTAGAATGCCAATTTACTAATCAACAAGGAAAGCATCCAAGTGTCAAGTATGTGGACATAAGCACACGGCTAAATTAAGGGAGCAAGCTACCTGACCAGTCAAACTGGAATCACGGAGCTGGTTTATTAAGCCTGGGATCAGAGAGCAGGGCCTTAGCTATGTAATTTGAATATTTAATGCTCTAGTTTTCACTGGATTAAATATGATCTTGGATGAGGGATGCCACTCCCGATTCACAGCTCTCTCTCTCTCTCTCTCTCTCTCTTTTTTTTCCATTTTGGAAAAAAGCTTTTCTATTTACTTTTTAATTGAAGTATAATTTACATGCAGTAAGATACACACAATTTTTTTTTTTTTTTGAGATGGAGTTTTGCTCTGTGATCCAGGCTGAAGTGCAGTGACATGATCACGGCTCACTGCACTGCAACTTCTACCTCCCAAGGTTTAAGCAATTTTCCTGCCTCAGCCTCCTGAGTACCTGGGATTACAGGCGTCCACCACCAGACCCGGCTAACTTTCGTATTTTTAGTAGAGACAGGGTTTCTCCATGTTGGTCAGGCTGGTCTCGAAGTCCTGACGCCCTGATCTGCCCACCTCAGCCTCCTAAAGTGTTGGGACTACAGGTGTGAGCCCCCACACCTGGCCCAGATACACAAATCCTAATTGGGCAGCTTAATAAATTTTTGCATATGTACCTACCTGTGAAACAACCCTGCCTCAACACAGCAGAGGAAGGCGCTCTTATGTTCACTTCCATTTGTACAACCTAAGGGTAACAGCTGTTCTGGCCTGTTTCACGATAGATTAATTTGCCTTTTCTTGATTTCATATATGTGGAACGATCCAGCATGTACTCTTTGATTTTTGACTTCTTTTACTAGAATCTTCAGTCTCTGAACTTATTTTTAATGACATGTATAGTACATGAATTCACTCTCATTCTTAGATTCAAGCAATAGTGATATGGTGAAGGTCTCCTTTAAACTTTCATCAAGCCCCTTGACTCTCTGAGGTGGCACCACAGGATGACTTTGCTCTCCCCTGGGCTAAGTAGCCCTTTCTGTTTGTACAGTCTTCTTGAGAACCACTGTTAGTTTATGCAAGAGTCTAGTCCTGTCTCCTAAATACACTCTAACGATCTGAATGATTCTGAGGTTTTTGCTCATATATTTTCCAAAAGTCTCTTGTGTAAGACTGCTGATGCCTGGCCATAGCCATAGGCCCTATAAGTGGATTTCGCTTGCTGTGTTCTCAGAGTAGTCTCCAAGTTCTTCGGTGCCTCCCTGGTGCCTTCCATTAGTGTCATCTTAAGAGGTAAGTAAGATAATGATGGAATAATATCTTGGCCCTGGCAATCTGTAGGTCATTGGTAACTATAGGAGTATTCAGGGAGGTAGTGTAGGAGAGAGAATCCCAATGATAGTGGGTTGAAGAATGAATGGTGACAAGTAGTTTGGCAATGAAGGTAAGAGGAAATAAAAGCTAGAAGGAGAGCCTTTTATCTTTAGATGGAAAAGTATTGAAAGAGTCAGGGAGAGGAGAGAGAGAGAATGAGAGAGAGATTGAATATATTATAAAGAGTTGAAGATTCTAAAAGAGTAACAAATGGTACCTCAACTTCTCTCAAAAAGCAGAAGTGGTTTCTAGAACACAGTTCAGTTGAGTCATCTCTTCTTTTGGAACAAAGTTCACTCAGGAGTAGGTGGGGAGAATTTTACAATTTGTGAAGGAAGAAGTTAACAGACTTTGAATTTGGTGGTCTTGCTTTTCTTGGTGAAAGACTGGTCACCTTTTGAGAGTAATGAGTGACTTTTGACATGAAAGGAGATGCTTTGAGATAGTCAGTAGAGGACACAGGGGTACACTCAAGGTTGTTCCACAGTGTTGGGGTTCACTGAGGTTGGAGATAACTAAGCTGCTGTGATTTCCATTGGCATGCACTAGGTGGCCTGCTGCCGTTTGGGTGTAAGAATAGACAGTGGTGACTAATTGGACTAGTGTAGGCTCAGGCTTCGCATCTAGGCACAGTGCAAGGACAAGAGGGCGAGAGAGTCAATGATAGGGATACAGAGAGGGGTCAAAGTGCTGAACTATGCAGTTTAGACCAGAGACAGGAGATGAAGTCCAAAGGTATCTGAGACACTGGGAGAGTATGGGGAGGCCTCAGATAAAAAGCCTCAGTGTGGTCAAAGAGCAGGAGAATGGGAGGGCTGGAGGGGCTGGAGCAGCTCCAGGAGCCAAAGTCCAAGCATGTGACTGGGTGTGCAACTCAAGTGGTGGGGTAGCAGGGTGATGATTGGAAGGCTACCAGGATGGATGAGTCATTCCCATTGATTTTCCCTCTACTTTTTCCTTTAAAAAAAAATAGAGATGGGGTCACACTATGTTGCCCAGGCTGGTCCTAAACTCCTGGTCTCAAGCATCCTCCTGCCTCGGCCTCCCAAAGAGCTGGGATTACAGGCGTGAGCCACCAAGCCCTGCTTCCTTCCACTTTTTATTATGGAAAATACAAAAGTGGAGAGAATCATATAAAAAGCCCCCATGTATCTATCATCTGGATTCAACTGACTAATGGCCAATCTTGTTACACCTACACCACCCAACTCACTTCTTCCCATCTATCCCCCCTGGATTACTTTGAAGCAATTTCTAGACATTAAGTTATTTTGTTTATAAGTATTTCGCTCTCTCTCTCTCTCTCTCTCTCTCTATATATATATATATATATATGTGAACTTTTAAAAACATACAATTTCACTCACATGGATTTAAAAATCAACACTAATTCTCTAATATCCAATGTCAAGTCAGGGTTCAAATTTCTCTGCTTGCTTTAAAAAAATAAAGTTGCTTTAAAAAACATTATTTGCATCCATCTTTTCTTTAAATGAAGATTTAAAGATGTAGATGAAGGTGTAAATGAAGATCCAAAAGAGGTCCACACACTTCATTTGTTTTGGCTTGTTTTTTTTTTTT